GTCTTTGAGTCAGAGCGCGTTAACTCTCTCGATCTTCCATATTAAAAATATCGAGGGAAACATTTTTCTACACATGAAATATGAAAGCACATAGACATATGATTATGACGATATATTTTTTGTATGTGTTTTGTATACAGCTCACGGTATTTTTATAACAATAAAGGATGTTTATGACAATAAGCAGTGTGGCATACATACAAAGTGCATGTCTGCCTGGAATCAAAATCAACTATAGAGCACAATCGGGAGTTATTACAAGCACTGGATGATGGTTTAAAGTGGGTTTTAAGCAAATACATTAATAATTACATACATTTTCAAATGTGGCTTGATGCTAATTGTACTTCTATTTATATTTTACGAAGTTTTCTTGTAAGCATTATAGATAGTTTGTTTCTGGTGTAGATCCTAACTTTATTTAGCTATATTTATTTAATGCTGTATATTGAGCAGTGGACGATGTTAAATCCATATATGAGATACATATCTGAGTAAAAATGCATTGCTGGTCGGCACCACCTACGCTAGCGCCGTGAATTAGCAGAAGGCGATCAATCGTTTCGTGCTCGGTGTGAAAGCAACGTTCGATTTTTCGCATCGCGCTCAGTGTGAAACGGCCTTTACAGCCAAACTAATTTCCCTATTATAAAGACAAAGCCTTTCAAGGTAACAAAATATAAAAACGAATGGCAGATATTTAGGCCAAAGTGGGCAAAGATAAAAATCGTTGTTATTTTATCTTCGTTATTAAAAAATAAGTACGAAGATACACATTACAAACACACATAATATACAAATTAAACAAAGTGTTTTATTTTCAGGTACAATAGGTTATGTATTTAGCAGGAGCATTCAAGCAATTTAATGAACAAACATAAAAATAAAACTATATAGATTGATTGCTATTAAAGCAACTGTATTAATTTTTTCAGTCAAGAGTAGTGAGTGATTTTTCTCTTTGTGTTTTGTTGTTTTAACATTAAAGAATAAAAATTCTGTAAATTCTGTCATAGTGTTTTATTTTTATACCATAATTTACTCACTCAAAATTAGTTTTAAACCTGAGTTTCTATCTTCTGCTGAACACAAAAGAAGATATTTTGAATAACGGCTTCAGACACGGGTCACGACGAGGCGTCCCCCATAGCGACCCCTAGAGGACGCAGTTCGAAGTTCCCATGAAAGGGAACAAGCAGTTGCTGGTCCACAGAGACTTACATGGTATTTTTTTCCTACTATCAAATTCAATGTGGACCAGCAACTGTTTGGTTACCCACGTTCTTCAAAATATCTTCTTTTGTGTTCAGCACAAGAAGGAAATTAATACAGGTTTGGGATAACGTTAGTAAATAATGACAGAAATTAAATGTGGCAGCGGCTATTTACACTAACTGCAAATAGCTATAGATTCCATTTACACTGGTAAAATAGCAAGATTTTCTGCCATTTATATTTATGCGATATTAGATTTGAAAAGGGAGAAAAAAAAAGTTTGGCAAAAGGCGGGTTCGAACTTGGGTCGATCGCGTCAAAAAGCACACGCCTTACCATTTACACCACGGAGGCTGATTTTTCAGGAGCGTCTTTTTTCAGTGTTGACTATCCCAATCAGACGTTGGTGGGCGGCATTAGTGTAAATAGCCTCTGCCAACAAGGCGGGCTATTTGCACTTAGGCTACGTTTACACGACAATGATGTAGTCAAACACTGAAAAGTTTTTCCCTTGCTTTTTTAAAAATTTCACGTATACACGACAACGTTTTCAAAATGATTTGCATTTACACACATCCGCGAAAACGTCCAAAAACACTGCATTACGTATGCAAGGCCAGTAGTTGGCACTGTCACCTTGTTAGTAAACAGTACCTGTAGGGAAGTGACGATTATACTGTATGTTGTATATGCGTCTCTGCTGTTGGTTGTAATATTGGTGAAGCAAATCCACACTTTGCTGAAGAAGCGTTAGCAACAGTGGCATGCGTTAGCAACAACAGTACCATGTACTCCGCCATTGTTGTGTATGTTTGTTCGCGCATGCCTTTAAAATCGACATGTACTGCGCATGTCTACATACCTAACACGTACTACGCATGACGTCACCGTTTTCAAAGATTCCCGTTTTGGGTGTTTACACGGAAACGACAACGGTGGCATTTTCAAAAACTTGCACTTTAAAACCAGTTTTCAAAAATATGCGTCTTCAATCACCAAAACTCTGTCGTCGTGTAAACTAACAGGCAAAACGCATAAAAAGTTTCCCGTTTTTGGCTGAAAATGTTATGTAAAACTGTTTATTTTCATTTTAGACATAACCAACTCTATACGTAAAACTTGTGTGTTTTGACAGTATTAGCGCAAAAGATAACTTAGCTCAGTAATCAGGCACTGTTTGACAGGGTTTTTAGTGCGCGCGCTTCAGGCATACGCGCTCAGAAAAAGCGCACATCAGAACAGCGCGCAAATGAAACGTTTAACCGGCAAGACTTTAAAGCACATGCAAATAATGTACTTTTGTGATTGCGAATAAGTGCAGTGTCCTGTGAGAGTAACTCTACCGCTGAGTTAACACTGATGTGAATTAGGGGTGCAACGGTTCAACTTACTCACGGTTCGGTTTGTATCACGGTTTTAGAGTCACGGTTTCGGGACGGTTCGGTATCTGCTACGTTTAGGGAAAAAACTATATTGTCAAATAAAAATAAAGAAAATAAGAACAAATAATCTAACTACAAGTAACAGCACAAATAAATAAACAGTGAAAAAAGATACAAATAAAATAAACAGTGCTTTTCAGTTTTTTTAGGTAGGTCTAACATAGTTTTTAGGTACAGAAATTGAACAAATCAAATGTAAAATAACATTGCATATTTGACTGTATAAATTAAAGATTAATCCTTATTAAAGTTACAAAAGTTATTAAATCAAGAGCAGTGAGAGATTTATTTGTTGTTGCAGTTTGATTCATATTAAGAAAGTGCTGTCACTTTAAGAGAACGTTTAGCACGTGCCGAACCGTGTGTAGAGAACCCTACGGTTCCGTACGGGCAAACCGTTCCACCTCTAGTTTACACAGACAGTCTGATGAAGCTGAGGTGCCATAAATGCATTTACACTGCAAAATTTCAAATGCATAACTAATTTTATAAGATTAATGTTTTAAATACTTTTGGACAAACAAGTTAAAAATGTTGGGAAAAACGCAATACTTTTAAATATGAATCCAAACCACAAGTAGATGACGGGAAATGACTGTTTTAATGAGCGAGTCATTAGTCATTCATTCAACCAATTCGTACAAATGGCTGATTCATTCAGAATCGAGGCATATATGAAAGGGTTACTGAATCATTGACTCACTTGATTCATTCAAAAACGTGGATTCATTCAGTATTGAAACACTGCTGTGTGTTGCTGGGAGACACAACAGTTCTGCTGTGGCTTTGATTGAAACTTCATCAGCAAACTTGAGCAAAAACCGTCAATATTGTATTACAAATTGCGAACTTTGTATCTGCTTCACTCACAATGAAGAACTTCCACGACATGTTTACATGCGGATGTGAGCGTAAGATACAGTGCACTGATACTGTTTGTTCAGCCGACTATGTCTGCTAGGATACTCACCAAGACGGGCATTTTGACAATTTTTGTGTGAATTTGTCCATTCAAACAATACTTCACAGAGAGCTTAATATCTGCGCGCGTTCTAAGACGCAGGTTCACGCGCTTCGGATGAGCGCACACACAGATCTTCTCACTGCGCGCGCGAGTTCACATCTTCTGGCTCTTTAATATTTAAACTGGCAAGGCTTAAATGAGTTTAGTTTAAACACAGATAGCAACATGTGCTGTTCAGGTCTCACCTGCGCTATCAACACATGATGACTCTCTGATCATGATGATCAACACACTCTCTCATCGCTCTTGTTGTAATGTATTGCCAGAATTTGTATCCATCAACCGAAACATGCATTAGCCGAACTCTAACAAATCATATTACAGATGCATTGTCAGATTTAAGTTGAACCTCGGTCCTAGTGCATGCCCCGAACCGTGTGTGAAGAACCGTACGGTTCAATTTTTTACCGAGAATCGTTGCACCCCTAATGTGAATGTATGTGGCGTTGTACAGTATATTGAGATGGAGGCGTCAGAACTGTAACTGATAGAATGAGTGCTGTAGCACGATACTACGATATTTCTTCAAAAGCAGATCGTCGAGACATTTTTATCATCCACGATCAAAAATCGTCATATCGCACACCCCTACTTGTGGTATTACCACTAGATTACATGAAAGTGAGTGTTCATTCACAGTAAAATACTCACTGTTTGCTCTCTCAGCTTGTCATAGAGATACTCAAGCCTCTTATGAGCATCATCCAACTTCCTCTTGGTTTGCTGTTAGGATGAAGGGGGAAAACTTGTTTACTTGGAATGCTGGGAAATTTGAAACAGGATACAGACAGAAGAACATGCAAGCAAACATTTTTTGGTAGTAGTAATATTTACTATGGGTAATAACTTGTATGCTGGTCAATATGCTTTTCAAAGGGAGCTTGATTAAATAAGATTATTTGGTAAAACGAATCTCAGATGAAATGTATTTTTAGTCAATAGCTAATGTGAAAGGATTGCCTGTACTGTTTTTGACAAGTATAGTACTGGATATATATCCAAATGAATCGCTATAGATTTTAGATCATAATCGAATCAAGAGCTAGTGAATCTGAATTGACTTGATTTGTCATGCAAATTGCAATAAAACAAATTGCATGTACTTAATAGTACATTTAGCAGTAAATATGAAAATGAAAACTAGAGACACACCATATAGAAACGGCATGAGAAATACATGAGAGCCAATATACTGTTCAGAAATTTGGGATCACTAAGACTTTTTTTTGCTTTTTGAAAACAATGAATACTTCTATTCAACAAGGACACTACAAATTGATAAAAAATGATCAATTAACAACAACAACAACACATATCTGATATCTGAAACACTTACTGGTGTGTTTTTGTTGGTGTTTTTAATAAACAGTATTCTCACTAAAGATTCTAAATACAGAGTTGTAGAATTTATTTTGTAAAACCAGGTATCACATCATTATAATATTGAAGGATAAAGCCCCGTTCACACCAAGAACGATAATTATAAATAAGCTGGAAAAAAATCATTCTGAAAGTGATTCCAACGATATCGTTTGTCCGTGCCTTTATCATTACAGCTGTGGTGTGGACTCTTTAATATTGAGAACGATTTTTAGAACTATATCTTTATCGTTATCTTTATAGTCATCGTCCTTGGTGTGAACAGGCCTTAACTCATTAACACTTCTGAAGCCTGGCATTAATTTACTGTTTGAAACAAGTAAAGTCAATGCTATCTGCTTCCAATACCCAATAATGATTTCTGACATGCACATCTGTTTTTTGTTTTTTTGCAACTTTGGAAGACCAAGAAATCATGAAACAAGAGATTGCTCTTAATAGTGTCACTTCATTGTAAACAAACCGGGTCTGAAGCAGCAGCCAAGCATTTCTGGATCAGTCCCTCAAAAGTGGTCTTCAGAACCATGTGCTCCTCAGGGATTGGCTTCTTAGTGATCTTCTCAGTCGGTATGGACTGAAGTGGATGAGAATAGAGTATAATATGGGTAAAACACCAAGTGTACGACCACTAATACGCTTCCAACAAACATTTAAGGGTTTAGCACTCTAGGTTTATTGTACATAAACGATTACCTTTATGACATCTCCAATTGGCGCTCCAGGCGCACCCTCCATGTTGCCCCGAGGCATGCTGGGGTTTCTGCCCGGGGGTCCCAGTGGCTGCTGCTGGATGGGGCTGAAGGTGGCTGGGCCCACAGGCTGATCTGGACCCTGTTGTTGCGGCTGAAGGGTCTGCATGGTTTGGGCAGCAGGGACCTGAGGGTCTCCTAGAGGGGCCATGATGGGTGCTGTAATGGGGGCTGGTGGAGTGAAGTTTTCTGGCATCTAGAGACCAAAAGCACAAGATGTTTTTCTGAAAGTCCAATCCACGTAGGTTATGAGCAAGCAGACGATCTTCAAACTCACCTTCTTCTTTTTGGGAGCTCTGTTGAGTGCGGGAGGATCGTTCCAGCCGTTCTGAGGTCCTGCAGAAGAACAGGAGAGATCATTTCATTTTGGATTTCAATTGGCGGCAATGCATGGTCCAGTTTAACTCTCAGAATGGAGAGCATAGAGTTGTTAATGAATATTATATCATGCTGATTGGAAGTAGGTTCTTAATCACAACTATTGCAGGACTCCACAGTTAAAGATCTGTTCTGCATGCACCATTGAACGCAAGAAAACAATCAATTATATTGGACAACTAACAAAATACGCCATTTTAAAATTTAAGGCATAAGTTATTTACAGCCACAGTGACGTTTACCAAACTTACCGTGCAAATGCAGAGCAAAATGACTGCTTATGTCCTTGTATCTATTTACAGCCAATATTTGATAATTATAATATCATGATCATAAATGAGTGATTCATTCATTTTAGAATTACTTGAGAAAAACAAAATCACTGTGAAAAATTCTATTATTTATTAATAATCCAAGACGGACAATTACGGTCCTCCATGCTAGATTGTTATAACTCTCTTTATAAATTCACCTTCCAAAGACCAGGCTGAGTCTTGATTTAATCCTCCTGCAAATACATAAGGTAGCTGACGCATGACGTGTCCATCAACGTTTTTAATGCAACAGAGAGACTTTAGATTAAAACTGAAATAAACGTATGTAACTCATGTAATAAACAGCACCAGTTCACCACTGGTAATAATTTTTAACTGTGAGTGTACAACTCGACTGAACACCACTTTTAATCACCTTTTTGTCTTTATTAGTTCAAAAATAGCCCTGCAAACAGCCAATCAGATTTGTTTAAATGAGTCTGCAAGCCTACCTGTAACAACTGTGTTAAAGCTATAATGAACAAGAACTACCATCTATAATATACAGTATATAAAGTCTAAAATATTTTGGATTTTAAATTTTTTTGAAAGAAGCCTTTTCAAACTCACCAAGGCTATATTTATTTGATCAAAAAACCTATAATATTGTGAAATATCATTACAGTTTATATTAACAATTTTCTATGTGAATGCACTGTTAGATGTTAGATTGATGCAAATAACTGATCAAAAGTGACAGAATTCTTTGAAATATTATGTCTCTATTTCCAATAGATGTTTTTAAGATTCAAAATAATAACTATTATTAAGTGAGCAGCAACGGAGCAGCAAATCAGCATATTAGAATGATTTCTGAAGGATCATGTGACACTGAAGACTGCAGTAATGATGCT